AACACGAGCACACTGACACAAATGTTCATGCAGGGACCCACACAAACAAGAGCGCTGCACGGCTGAGCTGATGCAGCGGTGAAAGCTTCACAGTTTGTCCTTGAAGTCGCTTGTGAAGAAAGAGCCTGGCCATTGTGTATGTACAGCAGAGAGAACACTAATACTGATAAAATGCACTGCTCCCGGTGTGCCTCATACTAAAACACAAACTTGTTTCAAACAAAAGTGGGTCATGCTTTGCAGTGAGCTTCTCAATGTAAGAAGAATCATGAGTCGGTTTTAAATTCTTTAGCTGTGAAATCTTTTAAAATAAATCAATTTGCTTGTAAGATTGTACATTTTATTTAAATTTAAACTCCACACAAACATTTTTTTGAAAATGTTGGACACACTGCCTTACATGTAAAGCAGCCCTGTGAAATGTTTCACTGGAGAATAAAATAATGTATGGGGTTTTGATTTGGTTCTCTAAAAAACAGATACTGAAAGGTGTCTATACATGGTTGAATAGACTCCTGAAAAAAGGCGAGGAGGGATTGTTTTGGACACGAGGCTAAGGCGAGACGTTGTGAGAAGAGAAGAAAGGCAAGACTGGAGTCAAGGGAGCGATTAGACGAGGAGGGAAAGAGAACGCATCATATGTGAGGAGAAGGAGAAGCAGACAGCGAAGTGAGGAGATGAGGATGTGGAGGATGAGACAGGGGTGGGGGGGGATGGCCCAGGGGAGGTATCAATGAGGCTATCGATCTGTCCATCCAGTGCCCGTCTACCGTCCTGTCACTGTCTTCCTTCATCTATTCATCAACATGGGATGGATTTCCCTGTGTTGCTCCTCTGCATTAGGAAGAGTGTGATCAGGACGGACAGACGGATCAGAGCGAAAGAGAGGTTTGAGGGGAGTGTGTGTGTAGGGGGGTCTTACCAGTCTTACTGGAGGAGGCGTCATTATCAACAGACACATTGGTACAAATACACTACACAATCTGGATGGATTGCTCTGAAAATGGGACTCTAAGTCTAATACTTGAGTTACGGCTAAATATCTGCATACCCAGCAAGACACGGGTCCAACCCTAAAAATAGTGGCATCATTTGTTTTTAAACGAGGCCAAATTCTTGTGTGCTTCATATTTTATGAGAGATTTTATGAGAGCAGATAGATATTATTTGCAGAGCTACATCTGCTCATGACTGATTGGCTTGGTTACAAACAGCATTGGTGTGGCTTTCTTTCATAGCTTATCATCATCTTCCTCTTACCACGACAGTCAGGCCATCAAGCTTCTGAACTCCAATGATGACTGATAATGGGTTTTGATTGTGGTTTTGATGATGGTTTTATGGACGTTTTTAAACATTCTCAGTTTCCTGTTGTTACCTGATGAACTCTTGTATTTATGTATTTAATGTCATTCACAGTATTTGTTGTTTCTATTGTCTGAGTCTATGTGCCTGTGTTTCTGTATGTTTTGTATCTTTTTTTCATTTTGTTCTCACCTGGCTGTGAAACAAATTTCCCCTCAGGGACAATAAAGTTGAAGTTAAAGCTGAAAGTCCCCCATAACGGTTGATGCTGCACCAACCCACCTGTCAATCCCCGGGCAGGAACATTACACAGTTTTCCTGCAGAGAACTATGGCCTATGACTTGAAGGTGCTGACCCTCAACCTAACAGAATCACATCTTGTACAAAAAACAGAGATGACAGTTGGCCACCAAACCTGGTCCATGAAAATCAAAACTGGTGATAAGAAACAGCCATGGTGGAGGGCAAGACGCACCTTATATGATGCACCACTTTGCTCATATAACGACTGGATAGCTAGTAGCAATGGCCCAGGAACTCCATATTCCTACAGTCCCCCCGACAAGACCCCAAGAGACAGGATCTTTGTAGAAGTTGGTGGGCAGTATCGCCTGAAATTCATATCACTGTATTTTCTTTTGCTTATTGTGGTAACAGTATTATTTTTGCACTATTAAAGTATCAAAAGGAATTGTGTAAATGAACACACTTGCAACACAATGACCCCCTTCTTCCCCTAAAAGAAGCCTCGGATACTTGACTAATTTCTTTGATTCTGTGTGTGATTCTTTAGATCAAAGAAAGACGTTTTTATATGTCACTGTTTGTTCATTTGTCAATACATGGCAGCTTGTAACTGAAACTGTGTGGTTTAAAGTTTTGATTCTCTTGCTGAGTTTTGTTAAAGTTCACATAGTATACCTATATACAACAAGGTAAAATGAGTCCCAAGGCTCCCCAAAACATGTCCTTGAAGTTTCTTGCTCAAAATCAACTCATATCCTGTATTTTAGCATACCTATAAACCCCTCTATTCAGCCCTGCTCTGAACAGGCTGTTTTTGTGCCTATAGCTTTCAATGCAAAATGAGCTGTGTCTGACCACGCCTCTATCTGGAAAGGCTTGGGTGGCGTGGGCTTTATCGCACTATTGTCGCCGTATTGTTTAATGATGAGAAGGCAGACTCGAAGGGCAGAGGAAACACCAAGCTGTGAGAGTGTCAACCGCCTGAGGGAGGGGTGATGTTATTAAGGTCAAATCTCCAATCGGACAGTTTGAACACACATTTTCGGAAAAGTTGAGAAGGCAAAAGATTACGAGGATGGAATTTCCTTATTATTTGAGGGTTTGCCTTCAGGCTTAGGATGTAAATTAGTGTCCGAAAACCAGGGTAAAGTGTATTTTGCATAATATGTGACCTTTAAGTGGTTGCTGAAACACCATATTCCCTGAATTGTCTCTTTCCTAATAAAGGTGCTCAAACAACATAATAACAGGGGACAGGGTGAATACCAATTTACCTGATTGTTGTGTCATAATTCACTTTCGTCCTAAACATGGACACACCTTCTGACACGAGGAGAGGTGGTGCCCTTTAATCAGTGAGTGTGTGAGGCTGTGAACGCTGCCTCTCTATTCTAAGGATCAGAGCCAAACGTGCAGAAGACCTGGGGACCGGAAGGTTGAGTAATCTGTGTGTGTGCAGTGTGCACTACAACCAAATGTGTGTATTGAGACTGGTGATCAAAAAATCTATGTGCTGGCAGAACTTTACACCCTTGTCAGTATATATACTGTATCTCACAATCCTAAATCATAGGCCTTCTCCAAGCCCACAAAACACACGTAAAAAAAGATTCTGTTGACTGTTCCATTAGTTGCCTGTGACATTTGGAGGAACCATATTGATCAATTTGTACATATTGTTGCTGGAATGTAAATGACACGGTGTTCAAATGCTTGAGGAGTCTTATATGAAGTTAAGTCCCAGTGCTGTTGTACTTCGTCAGCGCTAAAATGCTTCTTGTCCAATTAAATTACTCAGTCAGAACAAACTGTTGTGTAAGGTACTTCAATCTTGCTCTCTCATCTATCTCACTCTGCTTATCTGTTTCCATTTCTCATTCATCCCAAATCTCCTCTCCTCGCTCTGCAGTCTCAAATAGATGCTCTAACGGGAGATTACACTGTTACAAAACAAGGATGCATTGTAACCCTCTCTGTCATTCAAAGCTACAAACAAAGAACGTGTGACAAGAGAGGGACAGCGAGGGGAAGGGAAAAGAGGAAAAAATAATGAGCCCTTGTACTAAAAGCTAACATTTGATTCCTGACCACTTCATCAGCCGCTAAGCTCTCAGTCCATTATCTAAAAGTCATTAAGCCTACTCTGCAAGATCAGTTGAACATAATAATAAATACTTTTCTTCCATCAATAAATCTAGACAGTGTTATGTCAGAAAGAGTGAGTGCTTCGCTTAAGCCAACAATCAGTGATGATGTTTTTAGAAGCGACTATTTCCGCTTTGGTTATTTTTAAGATCTGCATTAAGGTATTTTCCATAAACAGTAAGACAGTAAGAGCACTCCTCTTTGGTTCTTTGTGGCTGAATGTAGTTAGGTTCCTGGCAGATCCAACAGAGAAACAGTGTTGTCTTGCAGCATACTCGAGACTGTGTGAGTCCAGGCCTGTGAAAGGAGGTTAGCAGGTCTGAGGTCTGACAAGGCGCTGAAAAACCCGCTGACTGCACAGCTAAGCTAGCTGCTGACTCCAGACGTCTATTTGTGTGCTCTGTCCCACCTGCTCACCGGTGGAGCTCAAACATGCAAAGACACACAAATACTCACATATTGCATGTTCTCAAATGTAGTATGTGGAGAAATGCAACTTTACCTTTCCTCTCTGCTTGCCTTTTCCATAAGGAACCCCAACAGTTTTATATACCTTCACTAGAAGAGGAGGGAGCTGGTTACAAATCATTCTTCTTTATGTGATTAATTTAGATACGTTCTATGAGGATCTAAACGTCTAAGAGGTTTACTGACAGTGGACAACAATAAAACACAGGATATGAAACAGTATATTTCATATACCTTCCAGTATAAATTAAATACTAATGCAGATAGCGTACCAAACTGCAAACTGTTCTTTGATGATTGTTGTACAACAACTGCCACAATGGTTGATTACAAGAAATATACTAAATGCTGGGAATTCCTAAGACTTCAAGGCAACATTAACAAAGTGCGCCCTCCGTTTTACCTTCCGTTAAATTTAAAAGATTACATTTTCCTGAGTCTCTAAGTGAGATCCAACAACATGGTTTGGTCCGCATGTGATTCGCAGATCATTCCCTGTATAAATAGGAAGGGCTATGTGTCACATAGCGTTTCTCTTTTATAGAACATTCTTCACTTTTATCCAGGTAAATTTCAGTTTCTATTTCACTAGAGACAAAGCCTGCCACTGATTCAATTGGGCTGGTTCCTTTTTGTCTGAGTACTGGTAATTATTAAATATTTAATTGTGCTAATTGATGTGGGTGGAAACCACAAATGAAACAACGTGTGTGAGTGTGGGAGTCGACAATGGAAGAGGATGTGTGTCATACAGTTTGTGTGCATGTGAGGAGGTGCAGATGTACACTTATACAGGAGATTGTTAGTTTGTGTAGGTGTGCAGAATTGTTTTTACCTTGGCAGGTGAAGCAGTGAACATGGAAGTGTGTACTTTTGACGCGCACCACCTCCCCACGACAAACCTCCCCACAGCGCTCACATACGATGGGCGAATTTCCCCGGCTGGAGAGAGGAGAGCTGCTGTTGTTGTTGTTTCCTCCATAGAGACCTGAATGGTACTGAACTGAGAAGAAGACAAGAGAGGATCAAACACATGTCACTATTGTTTTAAGGCCTCTATTTTTTGTCCTCACTTCAACAGCATTAAAACATCTGATCAAAGTGTGACAGACAGCAGGAACTGCTCTCATAAAAAGACAAGGCATGTGATGCATTTTTTGACAGGAAAGTGCCTTATTGCAGGAACATGTGACAGCTTAACACAATCTCTAATGAATAATGCAAAGAACAACAGTTGCTCAGGTGTGTTATATTTGCAGCTGCTGCTTGTCTTGGCATCTTGCATTCAGATAAGTATTGTAATACATATTTAGTTTAACCGGATAACATTGTTATTATTCAATTATGTTTCGTTTTGAACACGATTAATAATTACAAAAAAGACGACTTGCCTCATGAATACAAACCTGTGTACATTTTATTCTATAGTGCTAACTTTTCTTTTTTCTCCTTTTTTACCATTTAATAACAAACTAGGAATCCCACTGTTCTGTTTATTGCAACATCTGCATAAGTAAAAAAAAAGAGCTTTGAATTTTTAATATTGAAATAGACAGGATGCAGAACATGACAGACACAAGCGCACACACACATGCACACACACACACACACACACAGACACACACACACACACACACACACACACACACACACACACACACACACACACACACACACACGCACACACGCACACACGCACACACAAAACGGAACAGTGGAGCCCTTTTGGGGATTACACCTTCATCCTTGATTATGAAACCGGTCAAATCCCTCTTAGAGACACAAGTCCATTCTTTATGCTCTCTGTCACACCAAACACACACGCAGACACACACGCACACGCAGACACACACGCACACGCAGACACACACGCACACGCAGACACACACGCAGACACACACACAGACACACACGCAGACACACACGCAGACACACACACAGACACACGCAGACACACACACAGACACACACGCACACAGACACACACGCAGACACACACGCAGACACACAAAAACACACAGTGCTTTATCTGTCATGTCACGGCTCAGGGCTGACAATTGTGCAGATTGAATATATTTCAATGACTAACATGATGTTTCATCAATATTGACTTAGATTTCCTGTTGCAGCTGACTGAACTCAACCATCTGAGCAACAATACTATTGTATTCGGCAAAATTCAATTAAATTACAGTTCATGCTGCTGCTGCATCCAACCCACCCCCTCCCCTGACAAACACACACACACACACACACACACACACACACAGACACAGACACACACACACACACACACACACACACACACAGACACACACACACACACACACACACACACACACACACACACACACACACACACACACACAGACAGGTTAAGCTGATGACAGCAGGAGAGAGACATAGAGAGAGTTGTGTTTCTAAAAATGTTTTCAGCATGAAAAAAAGGAAAGCTGGACATAAATGTTTCCTAACAAATAGTATCATCAGTGTGTGTGTGTGTGTGTGTGTGTGTGTGTGTGTGTGTGTGTGTGTGTGTGTTTGAGAGAGAGTGTGTGTACAACAGAAGCTGGCATTGGAACTATAGCCAGATGGCAGCACACAACTGAACCCACAGACATAGAAAGATCAGAGCCACCTGTGTTTGTGCATGTGTTTGCATGTGTGCGAGAGCAAGAGAGAAAAAATGAATGTGTTCTTGTGCATTCGTTATTTGGAGAAGGTTTAAATTGTGTGTGCTATAATTATTTAATTTATGAAGGTGAAACTATTCACATTGTGTAGTAAGGTGTATTTTGTTATATAAAGTTATTTTGGTCGTACATTTTTCCAACAAGAACTGACAAGCAGTCAAGTAACGCTCTTTACGCAAACACTAAGCTCACATCTGATCTTTCCAAACAAAGCCTCGTTGTCCTGTGATTCCAAATCACATAGCACATTTCCCTCAGAGGTAGTATGTCCAACCAGGGAATGAATATTCAACAGAACTTTTAACTAAATTACCTCAAGACCCCTAAAATGATTTGCAATCTCAAGAAAACGATCAACCCTCAGTTTAGTAACAAGGTCTGTGTCAGTCAAATACTTATTTTTCATTTTTTACAATTAAATGTTTAACTTCATTCAGAAAAAAAATCAACCATAATATGTGAGAAACATTAAAAAAAAGGAAGCATTTTATTGCAGAGACATTTATGAGGCCCCTTGGTTGGAAACAGAGGTGTACATCACTTACATCAGTTAACCTAATGATGGTCAGTATATAAGCAATATGTGTAACACCATGTCCCCTATATTTTCATATTTTCAAAACTTGAGGGAGGCTCTAAAGTGTGCAGTGTCTGAGAGCATCACACATAAAGTCTGACCTTTTACCTTGTGGTTTACCTGTATGAATGAAAAACACTACAGCATCCCAAAGTAGGAACCAAACCAGTCAGCCAGAAAATAATCCTCCCCTTTATTATGGAAGATATTTGGGGATACACTGTCAGCCAGGGCCCCGCATGACACACTGACAGAGTCATAATGTGTTGGAGTGCAGCCCCAGCGGAGCCCTAATATAAGGTTAAACACCCCCTGAGGTGAGAGCTATAACACAGGCTTGGTTTTTTGTGCCCCTTCTGCAGAGCTACTCTGTTCTGGACTTTGGGATTTGATGGTTTCATATTATTAAAAAACCTGCTGTATCTTGGTCTATGTTTAGACACAGGCAGATATGATTATGTGGCCGGCACAGTGAAGACCATAGATGTGCTCTTCTGTCGACAGTTTAATCATTTCTTTCAGAGATATCTGACTGGCTTTAGCAGGTTATAATTTTTGTTCTTACCTGACTTACCTAACATATTTTCTGCAATACCAAGTGCAATTTTACAAGTTTCTAAGATCACATGAAATGGATAAAGCGATCATATCCAGTGACTGTGGTGTGGAGGAATCCCTTTAGTCATCATAACCACAGAAATCTGTCAAATAAACAGAAAGGACTGTCATAGATCAATACACAATATCAGCCTCTGTTCTTCTAACCTTCACTGGCAGATAATGACAGGATGAAATTCAGTGTCAATAAGCGAGTCAGGTGATCAATAGCTTGCTTCACTAAAGGGTTGTTTATGTCTACTTCAAGTTAAACCCTCCCAGGACACTTTGATATTGATTAGACAGAAGCACACTTATTGAATGAAAAACCACACAGGTGCGTCTCGACCACACACACACACACACACACACACACACACACACACACACACACACACACACACACACACACACACACACACACACACACATTTGGGCTAACAGAGTCAGACACGCACAAATTATTGCTTACCATTTGTCGGTCCACTCATGATGTGATGTAGAAGTCCAGCAGCTTGAATACTCAGAGTTTGTATCAGTCAGCAGCAGGAGAAATGATCCAGATATGACTAAACATTCCTCTGTGGTCCAGTGCGACTTTAAACTCTCCCTCCCTTTGTCTGTGTCAGTCTGAAAAGGGCTTTCCCTGCTCCTCCCCGCAAGCGGATTATACTGCCAGGCGGTGGACTACTGTACCCCTCCACCCCTAGTAAAGACAGCCGCTTCAGCCGGAATTAAATCGCCACTGACTGGTACCATCCTCCTGCTCCTCCTCCTCCTCCACACGCCTTCAGCTTCCACCTCTCCGAGCCAACAAGCCTCAGCGGTCCTCTGATTCAGGGTCCATCCCGCCCTAAACAGTCAGTGCGCTCCAGTGGACGCCAACATGCCTGTGCGCTCCGTAGCGCTATGCTGCCTGGAGAGTTTGAGGTGGTTTTCACACTCTCGGAGCTGTCAGAGCTCTCTTTTACCGTGCAGGACGAACTCCATGGAGGGATAGCGCCGAGTAGCGTCCAACATCGGAACTGCCGACGAAAATCACCATGCCAAGCATCAGAAAGATTTTTGAGCTGTCATTGTGCTGCTTCTTTTCTGGCTCGGTATCGACGCTTTAATGTAGGCTAGTCTACTTCATGGAGCAGGGGTGGGCAACTGGCGGCCCGGGGGCCACACGCGGCCCCCATCAACCCTCAATTATTTGAAAACATAAAGAAAAACATGACAAAATCTGCCATGAACTCATGAAAACCAGAAATATGTCCATACTAATATTTGATCACTGGTATATGTTGAGTTAATTTGAGACATAATCGACTGTAATCGTTTTTGTATTCTAGAATTTGGCCCCCTGGCTTTGAGAATTAAATGAACGTGGCCCTTGCTGTGACCAAAGTTGCCCATCCCTGTCATGGAGGGAGATAAAGTACGCACATGACTAAAGTAACACACTAATTAAGCCTTGAGTAAAGATAAAATCGTTTGATGATAGGGTGTTTACAAAAAAAACAAAGTTAAATTACATATAACATCGCAAACAGTTAAAAGTTAAGATGAAAACAAAGACAGCGACCCACGGGGTTTCCTCTCAGGGGTCAGGAAATTACAACAACATTGAACAGCTAAATCTTTCTGGCATTAATCGTGCAACAAGACAGTGTAAAACAAGGGACTTAATCTGGAATTTACCTTAAAAGACCGATTAAAACTCTCTCAAAAGGATGAAAGGTAAAAATAGCCTACAAAAACAACGGCTCAAATGGGATTTTCTGGCTTGTTGTAGAATAGATTTTAGTGTAGAAAAGGGACAGTTAACTTAGGTTAAGTTAAATGATACAGCAAAATAATTGTTTTCTGATTTATACCTGGAAACACTATTTATTGGATTATTATTTACAGTCTATGGATTATTTCAACACAAAGTACCAGCAATGCACAATCTTCAACTTCCTCAGATATTAACAGGAAGCGGATATGTTCCAGTAGTGCGGCTCCTCGACGGTCTTCCGGGGGAGAATCCAACCTGATATTTCCACATCTTATCAATTAGCCTACATATTTCCCTGCTTAGGGATTATGTCCGCGATACCAGACAGTAATTGCCACTCTTTTGAAAATGTATGTGAGACATTTGTCATTTTGTATATTGTTGGATCTGTGCTATGTTATGTAGCCTAATATTCCTTATTGCAATTAGGAAAGCGTATCAGTGGTTCTCCGCAGTCAGTTAATGTTGGCTTAAAAAAGGACACTAAAAACCTGTTGTATTTTTTTATTTCATCGTGTGTCACTTAAAGAATAATACAATGATCCTAAAGGTAGAATAAAGATAAAAAGTCCAGCCTCACATCAAAAATATGTAGTGCTAATAGGCGTCCTTCTAAGAATTAGAGCATCCGGATTTGACTTGAACTATTAAACCAAGGCTTAATCAAGGCCCTGAGGGTCCAATGCTTTGGGACACTTTCTTGGCCCAAGTGGTAATCCAGCCTTGACAGTGTCAATGAAGGTTATGTCTTTACAACCCATATCTCTTTGGTTTGCCTCACTGGTATTCTGAGAAACTGATTTGAAAGACAGGCAGACAGGCTGGCTGGCTGGCTGGATAGATGAGCTATATGAAAATCTAAATGTTGATCCTTGTTTTGCTTTTGCATCTTTTTTGCAATAAACAAAAATCCTAACCAATGTGTAAAGAATAAAAACTGTTTAAAACTCAACTTCAAGATTACCAGCCACCAAGGTATAAAAATGAAGGATAAAAAAAAAAAAAATTTAAATCAAGATCCTAGAAACAAGGAAACGCAATATTAAGCTATATTTTTTTCATAATTTAAGAATTTCTGTACAAAAAATTAAATAAAAGAAGAAAAATAGGATCAAACCTCTCTACATAATTTTATTATTGTATGTACAGAAAGTCAAATAATAGGCTGTTCTATTTTTAACGATGTTCCCCCGACCAAACATTGTCAATGGAGGTCTGCAGATTCTCAGAACAATATTTTGATAACATAAGTCTTCTTACCACAAAAAGCCCAGATGGAATAATGTCTCTTTCATTGAATATTCCAACGTATCGAATATCTGTACATGTAGCTACAAAGATTCACCAAAAGGTGGCAGCACAAGTTCAGATAGTGATGACTATAGAGGCACTGGAAGGGATTGTCTTATTAGTGAAATGTCAAAATAGTTCCTGGATAAGAAAGCAGTGCTTACCGTCCATCGAGACTGTTTCAGATGCATTATGGGTATCTTAGTTGCATCATAAGCATTGAAAATGAATGAATGTTATCCACTCAGTAGTACAATTCATTTGAATAGAATATTTAGTTTGGCCTTATACTCATGTAAATATAATTTATAAGATAAAATAAATGTAAAAATAATAAATATAAAGACATCTTTAAAATTAACAATTTCGATTTTCAAAAGTCTTGATGTTATATTTCCTGATGAGCGCTAATGTGGGTTAATTCCTCTGATGGACACAATATCTCTCTTAAACAAAAACATGTTTGTACAGTTACCTCTCAGTCTGTCTTGGCTCACTTCCAAGTGACTTAAAACAATGTGAAGGATACTTCCTGCAAAAACCACCAAACCACTTACACTGTCTCACACCTCCTGCGAAGCTTTCTGAACAAGGAGGGAAATGGTGAAAGTTTGCATTCGGACAAAAGAATAATCTTCATTTGTGAAATTATCTAATAAAGTAGAGGAACATGTCTGAACAGAACTTGACTAACTGCGGGTTATTAAAAAAATGAGTTCTGCACGTCGTCCCTGCAGTGTTGTGCCTTTCTGTCTGGAGTGTTTTTCTGTATTTACTTTACAAATCACACAGTCAGGCTTTTTCCAGCTCAGGCATTCAACTAAAGTTTCTTTGTCAGTGAACAGCATGTCATCTGAGTGTCAAATCCAGTGTGTCTATCTGTGGGAAGTTGTGTTAATGACCCTTTTGTAACGTAAGCCTGTCTATTTTGAAGCACTGTTGACACAATGGAAAAGTTCCTTTCCTCCCAAAATACACTCTGCAAACTGCAAGCTTGGATCACTTAGAACAGTCCTATTTAAACTAACAGTTAGCACAGGTTAGGGGCAGGTTGTCTTATATCACAAAGGACTGTAAAAATAATTCAATATGGGAATGTTTTGTACCATCTAACTTAATCACTTAATCATGACTTATTCTGTGCTAAGAGAGAAAATGCGCTGCATGTCTGTTGTCTGTCGAGGTACAGTATTTAATAAAGCATGCATTAGTAAACTATCACATGAATATAGTCATATGAATGCAGAATGGTTCAATAATTAGGAAGAAATGCACAAGGCTCTTGAGGCAGATATTATTTAAAGCTTTCAGATGTTAGTCTTTTTTTGTTGCACTGCTTGGATTCCTTTAAAGTAGTTAGGTTACTTACTGTAGCAAAATTACAGCAAGCTTTACCGTATCTGCAATGTGTTTTAGATCTGCTGTGTATGTCTTAAGCTCTCAGGGCCACTCTTTTATGGTGGTGGAGGTGCAAGGATGAAAAAAAAAATAAAAAAAACACATCATATGCTCCCTTAAGTGGGAAAGGCAGCCACATCCTTTAGGGAAGGAAGTATCGGGCTTAATAGGAAATCTGACATAACAACAATAACACCACCTATAAATAACTCTCCAGTGGGATTGGGTCTTAGAGTCACCTTGACATTAGTTTTGTTAATTTTGTGAGAATTGTACCGATTTACACCTTCTTTTTTACAACATGTTGTCATATGATCCATTGTTTAAGTGGCCATATTATGCAAATTTTTACATGTTCACTCTGCGAAACTTCTGTAGAAGATTTGCACGATTAACAATTTAAAAAATATCTTATTTATCTCACCCTGGTGTCTGTAAAAATCCTCCGTTCAGCCTCTGTCTACGATTTCAGGTATTGTCTCTTTAAGGCCGCCCACTCCAAGCCAATTTCTTCTGATTGGCCTGCTTTCTTGAACCCTGGGAATGTGGGTTGTCCTTGTTCCACTTTGGCCTGGGCATACAACCATGTAAGAACTTCCTCGATTTTGTGAAGTCTCTAACATAGACTGTATAAAACATGGACTTATTCTACACATTGTTTTCAGAAGCCCACTTTTGAACATCGAAGGCTGTAGCCAAAGTGCTAAAGTCAGTCTCAAACTAACTTAACAGGCAAAGAGCTGGAGCTGAGGCGGGACTTAAGCCTACTGACAAACAGCTACAACCTACATGCTAGTGAGTCAGATCAGCCATCGCCCTTATTATGAATTGCTGTTATCCTTCACAAAATCAGGTGAGTTCTGAAAAAAATTAATCTTTGTACAGTGTGTGCCGAAAAAGACACGAGGTATTCAAACTAATTTGTTTTTTTTAACCAGGCACTTAAAACTTTATTTCTGCTGTAAAAATATGCATTTTAGAATGGCTTTATATGGGACTTCCAGGTCTTTTGCATCCAGCCTCAAATGGACACTCCAAGAACTGCAGTTTTTTTTGTTGTTGCACTTTTCAACTCTGAAGGTTGCAGCTGGTCCACTTTGGGTACAAAGTTGGGTACAAAGTCCACACAAAACCCTACGTTTAAACTTGTTACTTTTTTAATTAAATTGTCTCATTGTTTGGTTGCACCATGGGCATGTAAGGTTTATCTTAACTAGTAGAGCACAACATCCAAACTAACCTCAAGTTTTTCATAGATATGACTTAAAACTTACTGTTATATAACTTAATTTGACCAATCAGTAAAAACAGACCACTCTGTTGGCGGCACCAAACAGCAGTGAAAATGTATGTAAAATATGACAAAGCATTGTGATAAGTGATAACTAAAAGAGAGACAGGGAGTTGTAAAATCTTTGGTAATTTAATTTGACTATAATCTGCCAGTTGGACCATAATAGGCGTTGAGATT